CCACAGAGCTCCATTGTCCAAAAAGAAATTTTAAAAACACTTTAGTGCGCCACACTGTTGCACTGGGTAACATGTTTCCATTATAACGACCATCCTCAGCACTGTAGTGTTTCTTTTTTGTTTTTTTTTTCAATTCAACATACACTGTCCTGCAACTGAAAATGCTCTCTACTAGAGCACCAAATCCAAAGCTAAAAAATAGTCCCACATAAATGCACCATTTACTCCTGTTTGAGTAACATTTGCTAAAAACCGCAGCGCCCTGCTGTTTAATGAAATTATTAAAAATATAAGTACGATTATTATGACCTCTTTTTAAAGCTTTACACCTCCAGTAGGAACAAATGGACTTTGGGTTGAGTGCCACAGACAGTATAAAGAAGTTGGAAAGTATTGACAGACACGCTAACACATCTTTTCTGTTGGTCTTTTTACATGATGTGTTGACACACATAATTCATACACATAAAATACAGAACATCCCCAGCCTTATCCTTTAAATCCTCTGAAGCTTTATATCTTGAATGTTGCTATGTTGGCTTAAGGAGTGGAACTCTTTAAATGTATTATAACTGACGAGGTAACAAGGGGGTGTCAGATATGAATGATTTTAAAGTTAAAGTCACTACTAAATTTTCTCAATTTTTAAACATTTTAATGGTGCCTTTTTCCGTGGAAAATCTTGAAACATGAGGAGGGCCTGGTCGTAAGAGTAGAACAAAACAAAACACAACTTTTCCAGTATATACTTGTTTTTACAGACACTATTGAGCAACTAAGTTACTTCACACGCATATTATCATACTCTACACACAGCTTATTTCTCTCTAGGTGCTTATAGATTATCTTGTGTTCACTGTTGTATGGCTTGAAGGCAGAAGTATACTGTACAGCATATGCTCCGTGTACACACAGCCCCCTCCTTGATCACAAACACTTTTGAGTACACATCTCCTCAGCAGGACCACGTCGTAGCAGAGTGTCCGGGCAGCAGACGGTGGTGGCAGTGCGTTAGAGCCCGGTGACTCAACAGCATCTTACCATAAGGGCATGATGGTGAGTGACAGATGCAGAGGTGGGAGGGAAGAAGGCAAGACAAGTGACAAGCTAGAACAGGATCACAGCTCCTTTGAAGGCAGCTGGGCAGGCACACACAGAGCCCACGAGAACAGGGAAGTGACTCAACGCCCCAAGGACTTTAAATTACTTTTCTACAACTTAACTCTCCTTTTGCAGCCCACACAACTCCAACACTGTTACCACAATTTAACTCTCAACTGGACAATTTTTAAGAACAAGCGACAGTTAAGTGGAAGCCGACAACCACTCATTGAGGCGCGCAGAGCAATGTGCAATCTTGAGTGTGTCGGTGTGAAGGAGGAGGCGCAGGAAACGGCATTGTCTCTCGTATTTCAAACGCAAGAGCGAGTAAGTCAGGCTGCTTTTATGTCAAGTTGCAGAACAGGAAGAGAAACAACACTGAGTGAGGTCCCGACTAGAGGAAGTTGTAATTATTATTCGTGGCAGAAACCAGAGTCAGGAAAGTTCAGCAATGTTGCATGATTTACTATGGAGGGGATCACCCAATAAACACCAGCAACAATGTCAAACATTCTTGAGGTTGCATCAGAGACAGAGAACAAAACACCCTTGAGGTGCCAGAGAGTTGCTGCATTTCCACTTCTGGAATCAAGCTCACATGTCTAATAAACAAATCAATAAAATAATTAAACTGACTTAAATGTCAATAAGATCAACAGAAGCTCAGTGGTGTGCTAGGATAGATTTGTCTTCATTTCCACCAGTGGATGTTGGTCTTTGACATTGCTGAAAACCTTTGTATCATATTCTGGCTGAAAGTCAACACATGTATCTCACATTGAACACTGTATCACGATGGTGCAATGACATGCATTGCTAGGTTGTTTAACCTGAATGTGTTGCGCAACTGTACTCTGCTGGAGGGAGTGTCAGGAGGCACAACCAGGACTAATTTTGAATGCTCCAGCCGAACTAGTGATTTATTTAACACGCTTCGATTAATAATGCCACTTATATAAAACTATACTTTAATATTCATATATTTAATATAATATAAAGTCTGAAGGAGTTAAGCTTTGACTGACAGTGTCATTTGTGAGGAATCAATAAATTAACACCTCTGTGACACCTCTGCATCAGCTCCTTAGAAAAGAAAATGCTTTTGGGGTCACCCCTTCTCCCTCCCTCCCTCCCTCCCTAAAAGTTGATTGCTCATGAGAACAATATTCCCTTTGAAATCAGAGTTGTGAGTGTACAGGACACAATCATCAAGCACCACAAGATGTAACAGCACAAACATTCTTGGTGCACCCACACACGCAGAGAGAGCATGTGTGTGTGTGTGTGAGTGAGAGTGAGAGAGAGAAAGAGACCTGCAACTTCCTCTACTACATCAGAACCAACTATTTCACAATGAAAGTGTTAAACTGTCCTGTCAATTGAGGTGCTTTTTCAACAGAAAATTATCTGTATTTCTTTAGCGTGTGTGTATGTGAATGTTGCAAATAACGGAGCTGCTTGTGGACCTTAAATGAAAGGTGTGAATAAAAGGTCAGGTCAGCCGCCTCCGGTCTGCAGCACAGATTACTTTGTAGAAAAGACCGTCAAGATGTGGTGGCTAAGCTCATTTTCCAACATCTCAGAAAGGGATCAGAAACTTTGACGCTGCTCAGTTGGGTCTTACTGTCACAGAACACGACAGCCTAGACACAGCTCACCTGCCTTTACTTAAACTGAAAGGCAATATTTTAGGTGCCTTCCTATAAGCACAAGCACTTAAAAAGCAAGAATCTTTACCATAAGGAAAAATGTTGAATCTCTGCCTAATATGACATGAGTGCAAAACCCATGATACATTCTGCCAACAAAGACTAATAAATAATATAACTCAGCTTTAAGTTTGAATGGTTGTTGCCATGTATACTAATTAAAGAATAAGAGCCCATAATCAGGACAAAACATCTGACCTCAAAGCAGTTTCACTACATTTTTAACTTCCCAGTTATCTATGGAAGTAATGAGGCAGGGTACGCTCTCATGTTTTAATTGTGGGGTTGATTGGACAGCAAACAACTAACAGTCAGTTCTCAGATGTTTCTAGAAACCAACAATGATTAAACTCCCTCATCCATCCCACAGAGCCAGAGGCCGACCAAGTGTGCAAAACCTCCCCAGTCCCATGGAGGAGTGCGACGTGTCACATCATCCTCCCCGGCATGCCAGTGCCTCCTCCTGCGGACACTTGGAGCAGCGCGTCGGCGGTGAAATGACAGCAGATCATGTGTATTTCACCTCCTTTTTGCCGTCTCTTGTCCAAACTAAGATGTGCGCAGACTGTGTGAGCTCAGAGTGGAGATGTTGTTTGTGAACATGTTGGTTTAGGTTAATGATCCTGCTGATAATGAGATCCTGCTAACTATGCCTCGGAGTGGAACACTGTGCATGCATGTCAGTGGGAGTGGGGGGTAAACAGCTTTGAACGGAGGCTCCCTGGAACAAAAAAACCAAGACTCACACCGAGTCCTTGCAGTCATCTACAAAGTCTGTGGTTTGTGAGCAGAGGGGAAGCAGCATGTAGCAGCCGTACATCACTCTGCATTGAAATGTACTAAAATAATGAACAAATCCAAGCCAATTTAATGCTTTTTTCCCTTCTTTTTTTTTTGCTTGTGAAGCAGAAGCTAGAGTGGATGACCCCTGTACATTCAGCCCCAAAAATGGAAAAAGGGTATTCCCTCTCCCTCCAGCGTTTATGTGTAACGCGCTCGCACAAGGCAGGAAGTTCGCAGCTAAAAGCGAAAGAGATGTTATCTGTGGCAAGACGTTGCTTTTTTTCCATGAAGTCATCACAAGCCCCTGGGTAGAGTGGCTGGCTGCAACAAAAGGGCTACTGTGTGACTGGCACAATATGCCGCTCTGCTCCGCAGCTTGGCCACACATGCAAATGACAGGCCAGGAGGGAAAGGTGTGGTGGTGTCAGGTCCGAGCTCAGCATGAAAACACTCATCAAACACCGGCTGAGTGTAAAGGATGGTGAAGACTTTCGAGGGGGGGGGGGGCTCATGTGTGAGAGCTGCTGCATGAGTCACACTGCTCAAGAGAAGCTAGATTTTCACCTCATAAACAGCAACTTGCGCTGATACTATTTTGGCAGTAGAGGTTGGTGCTTTGTGATCTTTATCACTGCAAAATGGTCTATTTCCAACGACATTACATATCTACTTCCCTGTTATCTTGTAATTCGAACTGCAAAGTGTAAGCCATGTGGAGAACAACTGTTGAAAGTGAAAACAGGTTGTTCAAGATTTTCTGTTTCATTATCTGCACCACCTGAATCTTCTTCCACTCCAGTACACTGAGCCTGCCTGATCTGCACTTCCTGATCCCTGCATGTCAGCCAGGGATGTCTGTCTTCACACACACACACACACACACACACAGCAGAACATTACTGTGTCAATACTTAGACAGGGAGGGCTGCAGGTTTGTTTTCCATGAGAATAAACCTTACTTTAGTGAACTAGTATACGCCACTTTACATAGTTTGAAACCCAGAGCTGACATGAGGCAACCTCTGGGGACGAGCTGAAGAAAAAAGAGGTTGCTCTGGATGAATGATTCCAATCGATCAGAGTTTATTTGCACTAAGAGCTCCTCTGTCCAGATGTGTCTCTGTGTGTGTGTGTGTGTGTGTGTGTGTCAACTTTAACTAGTGTGATATGCAATAAATGATTCCAATACAGGCATGCGCATCAATGAATATGGCATGTACATTTCCACTGACGGTGCGCCAGAGGGAATATGATTGTTTTTTTTACGCGCACGATTTGCAACAGCTTGAAATGTAACGGCAGCAGTTGGATTTCCTGGCAAATGAATCGATGCAGGCTGTAGCAAATGCGCACCAGCTATGAAATGAGATTAGGATGAAAAAATATATACATTGTCAAACTACTCACCGTTCGGTCCATATTTCTCGAAATTGACTTTGACTTGCTCCAGAGTCAGCCCAGTGTTTTCGTTCACACTGAAGTTGTCTAAAACTTCGGTCGCCGATTTAGTGTGCGCATTTTCCATCTTGGTGGACTGGGCTTAGATGATGAGATCGAAATGCATATAGTGGAGTAACATCTATTGTGGCAATCGGGAGGGTGCGCGCCGCGGGGGGGTTTGGGGGTGGTGGGGGTGAAACGGCAGTAATCTCCACCGATGGACGTTGAAGGCGGCTG